TAAAAAGACAGATTTTTTGAGAGGTTCTATGTAAGAACTACACATTATGCCATGGGCTAAATTTAAAAGGGTCACTGAAACTTTATAAGATAGTCTAGTAGTTAGTACTATACTATCTCCTATAGCTGAGTCTTTGTCCAAGAATCTTCTATATGTTTGGAAACAGTTGCCCTGGTCTGCTGTTTCATGTCTTTCTTCTTAAAATGGACTATTTTCAGTAAGTTAGCAAAGTCCCCAGAATGTCTCTTCCTTATGTACCTTCCATTTCAAATGCATTCATTCAGCAAATGTTAACTGAGCTTGTACATATTTTATGTGAAGCATTGAGCTAGGCCTTGAGAATACAATAATGAACCAGGTAAGGACCCTATCCTAAAGAATCTTCAAGTCCAGGTAGAAGAAGTAGATGAGTAAACAGGGAATCCCTTATAGTGTATTAAGTGTCATGACTGGAGGAGGCATAAAGTGAGACGAAAGCAAAAAAAATGAACATCTCACCTGGCACTAGGGGTTAGAGGTGGGGGTCAGAAAAGACTTCCAAATGGAATCAATGTCTACTCTAAAACTTGAAGGATAAGTAGGAGTTAGCCAAGTTCTTAATGAAGGAGGCAGTATAATATAAAGAGAAAAGAGCTCAGAGATAGATAATTTGGGTTCAAATCTGGGCTCTAGCTGCTGTTTGTACTTAGAAGTTATTTCATCATTCTGCTTCCTTAGGAGGAACCAGAAGCAATTTATACAAGGTCTCCCCACCACATCCACCCATCTACCCTGCGTCTATGCCCATATACTCTGCTCTTCTCATTTTCAACTTACTTTCATTCCCTTGGTGATCTTACCAAATCTCATGGCTTTATATACCATTTATTTGCGGGCAACTCCCAAATTTTATCTTCAGCCCAGATATTTCTACTAAATTCTTGGCTCCTATGTAATTTAACATCTCTATTTAGATGTGTAATAGGCATCTCAAACTTAGCATGTCCAAAATTGATTTTTTCCCCGCTAACTTGATCCTTTCACAGTCCTGCCCATCTTAGTTAACAGCAACTCCATTTTTCCAGGTGAGGCCAAAAAGTTTAAGAGTCATTATTGACTGCTCTCCTTCTCTCACACTCTGTATCCAGTATGTCAGCAAATTCTGTTGGCTCTACTTTTATAAGAGATCCAGAATGCAACTACTTCTTTCGACCCCCACCCCCGTTACTCTTGTCTAAGTCACAATTATATCTTGCCTGAATTATTACAAGAGCTTTCTGTCTCCATGTTTTGCCTAAGTCCCTCTCAGTCTCTTTGCAATGCAGCAGCCAGAGTAATCCTGTTAAACATAACTCAGCATATTACTCTTTTCAAAACCCTCGAATGACTTCCAATCTCATTCTGAGTAAAAGCCAGAGTCCTTACAACAGCCTACAAGGCCCCACAGATTGGGCATCCTCTTAACTCTCTAACCTCATCTCCTATCACTTTCTCTCTGGCTCTATCCCAGTCACACTGGCTTCCTTGTTGTTCCTTTAACACCTAAGCAAGGTCCTGCCTCAGGGCTTTTGTACTTGTTCTCCTGCAATGCTTTTCTGCTAGTTATCTGCATGGCCAGCTCCTCCTTCTGTCTTTATTCAAAAGTAATCTTCTTTGCAAGGCCTTTTTTGAATACTATTTCAAACTGCAAAACCCTCCCCAACATTCTCTATGCCCTTTACCTGCTTTATTTTCTATGGCTATTAACATACTATATAGTTTAGTTATTTATCTGGTTTATTGAGTTTCTCCCAACTATTCTCCCACCCCCAAATGTAAGGTCCATGAATGCACAGGTCCTCAACAGATGCCTACTAAATAAATGAATAAAAAGGACACACTGTTTAATCCATATTATGGGAGGATATGCAACTTGTGCATACCTGTACTCTACTACCAATAATTGACAAATGTAATATTCATCTGAACTGGAAAACACTTTAGGTTGGTTTGATGTTGACACCATTTAAATGTTTTTTTCTGTCTACTTTTCTGTACATAGCGTTTTTGTTTGTGTGTGTGTTTATTTATATTTTAATTAACCTTTTCATGGTGTAGACTTCTCATTTTTTACATTTAATACCACTGTAAAAATAATTTTTGTTTCAGTGTTTGGTTGATACATTTGCTTTAATGCATATGCCCCATGGGATAGTTATGCTAAATTACTAGATCAGGACAGCCATAAAAAGCATTACAACTTCATTCTAATCCTCTGAAAGTCTCAAATGCTGAAAAATGAGTCATTACCTATTTGTTTATTTATAACTTATTTCTATAAACATTTAATGCTATACTATTATTGAAAAAAGTGATAAAATAGGATTATAAGAAGGTGCCTGCGTTATTTGAAAATTGCAAATGCAGCTTATAACACTGGAAAGTCTGTCAAAGTAAGAAGGCTCAATTACCCCTCCTAGAAGCTGCCAATTTATATTCTGATATTTCCTAAAAAAACCTCTGGTTATCTACCCTTTTTACGCTTTCTCATAGCTCTAGTATTTTCATAGCTAATAAGCAAAAATGGAAAAGATATTTTTTCTGAAATGATGTTTACACTCACATGCTGGCATAAAAGTAATAATGCCTATTGCTACTACATGTAAGGTAGCATGCTATGCCTACCAGGAAGCAATGGGTTTATTGCTTATTCATGTATGGAGCTGTATAACCCAGGTAATTTATCTTTATCTCCTTAAATTTTGCATCTTGGGAGCTTTGCTTGCCTCACCCTAGTTCCAGCTCTGCTAAGCTTAATAGTTCTTTTTTGCTATACGTGCATTCCCTTACTAAAATTTGGGACCTTCAAGACTTTCAAGGAAATGGAATGTTTAAATAAAATTTCAAGGATTCAGACTGCAAAACTTTTTGTAAAGAGAAACAGCATGTAATTATATATGCTTTTATTGATTTTGCATATCATTAAACAATTTGCTTCCCAGAAGATTCTAATAAAAGCAGAAACTTACCTTCCCATTCCGTTGGAATATCCCCCACTTCATAGTCTACTTCTTTTTTATTTGCTGCTTCTACAATTCTTTTCTCTCGAATAGTTTGTCCTGTGAAACAAAAGTGATTAATACATTTTAAATGAATCTGTAATACAGTAGTTACTACAAGTAATATCTTCTCTTGATTTTATACACACCCTAATATGGTAAAACAATTAAATTCACAGGAGAAAGAATATATTCCATTTAGAATTAGGTATGCTAGTAAAGGCAATTTCTAAACCAATGCAAAAATTTTTAATTTTCAACCATGGTATGAAAAATTTAATGGCAGAATAAATCTAGATTCAATATATAGAAAAAGAGCAACCAACTAATCCTGTAGGGCACTAATGGCTAATAAAAACATTTTAATCATTAACAGAGTGTTCAACTGCTTCAACTCCTGTGTGTGTGTGTGTGTGTGTGTGTGTGTAAAGCAGAGGTGCCAATGGTTGCTGCGACTGCCCAAGAAAATTGATATTCATGGCCCTTACTAAGCATGTAATGGACCACAGGACCCAGCAGCCACCCTTGTCCCCATAGTACACTGACAAACCCAAGGGACTCAAGCTATCAGTTGGATTGTGTATCCCATCTGAATCACTACCTCTCAAGGGAATTTAAAGAAGAGAGACAAAAATTGGTAAGCTTCAGGTATGGTGCTTTAGGTGAGAAATTATTATTTGGAATGCCATGGTAGTAAAGTAGAAACATGAAAGCAGAGAAAGCAGTAAAGAAAATGGTGGAGAGAGGTCAAGAATAAGATGAGAATGCCTAATGCTTACATTTCTCAAAAATAAAAAGTTGATTAATGCATATTTTAAGTGTATATAGAAGGCATAAAACAATTTGTTATTTTTTTCTGCTTTCAGAAAGTCTTAATTATATCCACTTCTGTGAAGAATGTCTTTGAAAGAGATTTCTATCAATGCCTTGATAGAGATTTCAATGAATCTATATATTGCTTTAGGTAGTAAGGATTCTTTAACAGTATTAATTCTTCTGGCCCATGAACGTGGGATATCTTTTCACTTATTTGTATCTTCTTCATTTCATTCATTGATGTTTTTTAGTTTTCAGTGTACAGAACATTCACTTCCTTGGTTAAATTTCTTCCTAGCTTTTTTTTTTAAATGTTATTGTAAATGGGATTATTTTCTTGATTTTTGTCAGGTCATTATATGTATATTAAAATGTTTCTAATTTTTATATGTTGATTGATATCCTGCAATTTTACTGAATTCATTTATTAGTTCTAATAGGTTTTGTGTGTGTGTGTGTGTGTGTGTGTGTGTGTGTGTAATCCTTGGAGTTTTTTTACATACATAATTATTTTTCTGCAAATTAGAGACAATTTTACTTCTTCCTTTCTGATTTGGATACCTTTTATTTCTTTTTCTTGTCTGACTGCTCTTGCTAGTACTTTCAGTACTATGTTAAATAGAAGCGGTGAGAGTGACCATCCTTACCTTGTACCAGATCTTAGTGGAAAAGTTTTCAATTTTTTCCCATTGATTATAATGTTAACTGTGGGTTTTTCATAATGGCCTTTATTATGTTGAGGAACTTTATTTCTATAACTAACCCGTGGATAATTTTTATCAAGAAAGAGTATCAGATTTTGTCAAATGCCTTTTGTGCATCAATTGAGATGATTATATGGTTTTTATTTTCCATTTTGTTAATGTGATGTATCATGTTGATTTGTCTATGTTAAACAAGACTTGCATGCCAACAATAAATCCCACTTGGTAATGATGTATATTCTTTCTGATGTGTTGTGGAATTTGGTTTGCTGATGTTTTATTGAAGATTTCTGCATCAATGTTAATCAGAGAAATTGGCCTGCAGTTTTCTTGTGATGTATTTGTCTGGCATAGCTTTCAAGGTAATGCTGGCCTCAAAAAAATGTGTTTGAAAGTATTCCCTCTAGCTTTATTTTTCAGAAGACTTTAAGAAGTATAAATTCTTATTTGAATGTGTGATAGAATTCAGCTATCAAGACATCTGATACTGGGCTTCTATTTGTTGGGAGGTTATGTATTATTTTTTCAATCTTTTTATTTGTTATTGGTCTGTTCATTTTCTGTTTCTTCCTGACTCAATATTGGTAGGTTGTATTTTTCTAGGAATTTATGCATTTCTTCTAGGTTATCCAATTTGTTGGCATATAACTTTTCATAATAGTCCTGTATGATCCTTTTATACTATTTTATTTTTTGAGACAGAGTCTCACTATGTTGTCCAGGCTAGTCTTGAACTCCTGGGGTCAAGCAATCATCCTACCTTTGTCTCACAAGTAGCTGGGATTAAGGACACATGCCACTGCACCAGGCAGATTCTTTTTATTTCTGAGGCATCTGTTGTAATTTCTTAACTTTCATTTTTGATTTTATTTATTTGAGTCTTCTCCCCTTTTTTCTTTGGCTAAGGGTTTTTCAATTTTGTTTATTTTTTCAAAAACCAACTCTTAGTTTTATTTATTTTTTTAATAGTTTTTCTGTTCTCTATTTCTGTTCCGGTTTTTATTATTTCCTTCTTTCTGTTTATTTTGGATTTAGTTTGTTCTTCTTTTTCTAGTTCTTTGAGGGATAATGTTAACAGTATTTCTTTGGAATCATTCTTCTATTTTAATGTAAGCATTTAATGCTATAAACTTTCCTCTTAGAACTGCTTTTGCTGCATCTGATAGGTTTTGGAATGTTGTGTTTCCACTGTCATTTGTTACAAGATGTTTTTGAATTTCTCTTTTGATTTCATCTTTGACTCACTGGTCATTCAGGAGCATAGTGTTTATAATTCATAATATTTGTGAATTTTTGAAGATTCCTTCTGTTATTGATTTCTATTTTCATACCACTTTGGTCTGAATACTAGGTATAAATCCAATCTTCTTAAATTTGTTAATACTTTTTTTGTGGCCCAATACCTGGTCTATCCTGGAGAATGTTCCATGTATGCCGGAAAAAAAATGTGAATTCTGCTGCTGATATCTGTATATGTCTGTTAGGTCCATTTGGTCAAAAGTGCAATTCAAGTCCAGTATTTCCTTATTAATTTAGTTTGATTGGTCTATTCATTGTTGACAGTGGGGTAGTGAAGTCCTCTACTATTACTCTATTGCTATCTATTTCTCCCTTCATGACCATTAGTATTTTCTTTATATACTTAGGTGTTCCAATGTTGGGTGCATGTATATTTACAATGGTTATGTTCTCTTGATGATTGACCCTTTTACCATTAAATAATGACCTTCTTTGCCTCTTTTCGCAGTTTTTTGATTTGAAGATTATTTTATCACATGTAAGTACACCCACCTCTACTGTCATTTGGTTACCATTTGCATGGAATATCTTAGTCCATCCTTATACTTTCAGATCATGCATGTCCTTAAAGCTCCTGTGAGTTTCTTATAGGCAGCATACAGTTAGGTCTTGTTTTTTCTTTTCCTTTTTTTTTTTTTTTAAATCCATTCAGCCACTTCTGTCTTTAGATTGGAGAATTTAATCCATTTACACTCAAGGTAATTATTGATATATATGGACTTACTATTGCCATTTTATTTGTTTTGTAGTTGTTTTGTAACTCCTTTGTTTCTCTCTTTGCCTACCTTTGTGATTTGATAATTTTCTGTAGTGCTAAGCTTTGATTCCTTTGTCTTTATCATTCATATATTTGTGGTAGTTTTTTGTCTTGTGGTTATCATGAGGCTTACATAACACATCTTATAATCTACCACTTTAAACTGATAACAACTCAATTTCTGTCAAGTACAGAGCTCTAGACCCCTCAATTTGTTTTTGATGTTACAATTTACATATTTTTACATTGTGTATTCATTAACAGATTATTGTAGCTTTAGTTATTTTTGACTGTTTTGATTTTTAACCTTCATACTAGAGATATGTATGATTTACACGCCACCATTACAGTATTGGAGTATTCTGGATTTGACTACATATTTACCTCTACCAGTGAATTTTATACGTTCATAGTAATTATTGTCCTTTCGTTTCTGTTTGAAGAACTCCCTTAACTGTATCTTGCAAGACAGGACTGGTGGTAATGCATTCCCTCAGCTTTAGCTTGTCTGTGAAAGATTTTGTTTCTCCTTCATTTCTGAAGGACATCTTTGCCGGGTATAGTATTCTTGGCTGATAGTTTCTTTCTTTCAGTACTTCAAATATATCATCCCAATCTCTACTACCTTGCAAAGTTTCTGCTAAGAAATCTGCTGATAGTCTAATGAGGACTCCCTGATATGTGACTTGATGCTTTTCTCTTGCTGCTTTTAAAATTCTCTTTGTCTTTGACTAATTTGCCTTGAAGAAAATCTCTCTGGGTTGAATGTATTTGTGGATCTTTGAGCATCATGGATCTGGATGGCCACATCTCTCCTAAGACTTGGGAAGTTTTCAGAAATTATTTCCTTATACAAGCTTTCTGTCCCTTTCCCTGTCTCTTCTCCTTCAAAAACTCCCATAATGTGAACACCTGTTTGCTTAATAGTATACCATAAGTCCCACAGGCCATCTTCACTCTTTTTCATTCTTTTTTTCCCTCTGACTATGTCATTTCAAAAGACCTATCTTCAGGTTCACAGGTTCTTTCTTCTGCTTAATCCAGTCTTTTGATAAAGCTCTTAGCTGTATTTTTTATTTCATTGACTGAATTCTTCCACTCCAAAGTTTCTGTTTGGTTCTTTTCTATGACATCTATCTCTTCACTGAATTTCTCATTCAGATCATGAATTGTTTCCTTGATTTCACTAAATTGCTTATTCTCTTGTATTTGACTGAGTTTCCTTAAGATCATTATTCTGAATTCCTTTTAGGCAATTCATAAATTTCTGTTTCTTTGGGGTCTGTTACTGGAGAATTATTGCATTCCTTTGGAAATCCTCATAATTCCTTGCTTTTTCATGTTTCTGTTTCCCTACATTGAGTTGGATTCCTGGGCTTAGGGTCTTGCAAAACTACTGTATCACCTGGGACCTGAGGTACAGGTTCACTCTCATGAGTGGATGCAGTTTTCCTTCTAAGCTGGGATCTATTGCTCTCAGGCAC